GCTCTATCCTTTCTATGACCTAGCCTCAGAACCCAAAGCAGTACTTCCAGCACACGCTACTCATGAGAAGCAGGTCAGTAACTCTAGCACACATTCTAGGCAGGGGGATTAGGTTCCACCTGTTGAAGGGAAGAGGGTCATAATTAGAAGATATGCTTTCAGACCACCACAGAACCTAACTTAGGTTTTGTCCAAGTTCATAGATATCTGTACATTACCGCATATTTGAATGTTCTGTCATTACCATACCACATGAGCCGTCACTATGTGCATTTGCTAAAATCAAATATAAATGTGGGTCTATTTTGTTTTTCAGCCTGTACTTGCATTGAGTTATGGCTTAGTTTATCAGACAAGCTGCTTTCCTTGAGCAAAGGAAGAACCAGGAGAGATCGAGGGCTCTGGAACCCTGAGGGCAATGCCGAAAGTGGAGGAGAAGTGTATCAAAGAAGGGACGTGTGTGGTAGAACGATGACAGACATGTTGCTTTCTCAGTTGTCCCCAGGGGCAGGGAGCTGGTTGGAATGAAGGTCTGTGGTCATGCCTAACGTTAAAGGCCTTTGTCTTGCTAATTTAGACGTACAGTTCTACAAGCGCTGAGGCCTTGTAGATGGAGCTCCTTCCTGGTCCCTCTTCAGAAGGACAGAAAAATGGAGTTGTCTTTTCAACAATGGAGACATTTGAATACCATGGGCAGTCAGGTCTGAGGCAGGCAGTGGGGGAGGAGGAGGGCCCAGGTGCTGGGAAAGGGCTGGGGATGCCTCAGGGGTGACCCTGACTGGACAAGTAATAGGTACAGTACAAATCTACCTGCTGAAGGGGTAGTAACTTGAACTTGTTCTGCAATATCACCACAAGGGCCTGATGGGGTGAACAGGAATGGAGGGTAGCAGAAATTTCTGGACAGTGGCCCTTCCCAGAGTCAGGCAGGAACACCTCTTGGGTTTAGGGCACCCATTCAGGGTGAAGCGGACCCTGCCGGCACCCTGGAACCCAGCAGGGAGCACACACACCACTCAGGGAGGGATGGCAAGATTCACTTAGGCGACTAGGTTGCTAGCCACATAGCGGAATTTCAGGCTGCGATCCAGGCTCAACAGGGAAGGGGTGAATTATAAATCAGAACAGGGCTTTGGAGTGGGCAGGGAGCTGGTGCCTGCATCTCCAAACAATCCTGGTTTAGGAAGACAGGACTGATGTTGGCTGCCCTCTGCTGGAAGGGACGTGGCATCTCATGGGCTGGCGGAGAGGCTGGGTCGGTTGCCTCAGGAACCAAATGGATTTAGTCTCAAAGAGGAGGTTGTCATGGTAGAATCCCCCACCCACCCTCATTCCTCATCTCCACCCCCTACCCCCAGATGCCTAGTGATCTTTAGGAAATGGGGCCTTCTTCCATCTACAGTCACGTTTACACATGGGTCTTGGTACCTGGGCACACCATCATCAGCTAAAGTTGGGGGCTTTAAGAGGGTCATGTCTGGCTTAAGTGCCTGCAGTCCTCTTCATACTCTGCCCAGTTTGAGTCTTCATCCCTCTATTTAGTGTGGACTGCCAACATGGCAGCTCTTGGCAGAGCCCGTGCTGTTTCTGGGGCTGTGCGCTTTCAGTGACAATCACAGTAGTGAACGTGATGATGGCCACTTTCACCCCAACTGGACTGTGGTGTGTGAAGTGCCCAGGAGAGCCAGTGTAACCAACCTGCTCATGGCCAGTTCCAGGGAATGTGATCAGAGGTCAGTCTCGTCAGAACAGAGCTATTTACAAAAAGCAGGGGGAGAAGATGGAAAGTTTAGGAGCTCTGCCAATTGCAAGGGCAACACTTTGTTTTGACCTTGAGACAAGGAAGGTGAGTTTCCCACACACCAGCTCTCTGGACGACAGGGATGAGATTCAGAACACCACTGCCACCTGTAGGGCTTTTGCTTGCTTGTCTTGTGGTCCTGTCTCTCCTCCTGAGACCTCACTCCTCCATCTGTGAAATGGGATTAAGCCCTGCCTTCCACACAATTAAGACAAGGCATTTTGTGTGTGTTAAGATGAAATGAGATCATAGCAAAAAGTAATCATTTCTTTTATGAGGCATTTTTTATTGTGGAAAATACATATAAAATTTACCATCTTAACCATTTTTAAGTTCAGGGGCACTAAGTACATTCACATTGCTGTGCAGCCATCACCACCATCCATCTCCACAACTTTTCATCTTCCCAAACCGAACCTCTGCCCCCATTAAACGACTCCCATTCCTCTCCCCCCACCCCCGGCAACCACCATTCTACTTTCTGTTTCTATGAATTTGACAAGTCTAGGTACCTCACATAAGTGGAATATATAGTATTTGTCCTCTCAGGACTGATTTATTTCACTTAGCATGATGTCCTCAGGGTTTATCCATGAGTGGCATATGTGAGAACTTCCTTCCTTTCTAAGGCCGGACTATGCCATATGTTGTTTATCCATTCATCTGTTGATGGACAGCTGGGTTGCTTCTACCTTTTGGCTACTGTGGACCATGCTGCTGTGAACACGTGTGCACAAATATCTGAGTCCCTGTTTCCATTCCTTTGGGTATGTACTCAGAAGTGAGATGGCTGGATCATGTGGTAACTCTATGTCTAATTTTTCTGAGGAACAGTCATACTGTTTTCCTTGCATTCTCACACAGTTTTTTTTTTTTTTTTTTTTTTCATATGTGCCTTTTCCCACTAGATAGAGCAGGGAGCAGTTATTTCTAAATCCCCAGCACCTTGAACAGAGTTTAGTTTATAACAGAACCCTCTGCAATAGACACTGGAAAAAGTGGTGCAATTTATATGCTGTTGCCTCCCCAGTTGGTATATTAAATTTTTTTTTTTTTTTTTTGTCTTTTTCCATGTCCGGCAACGGATCGCAACCCTCAGTGTTGCCCCCGTACCGGACCGGGGACCGGCAACGGGATCGCAACCCTCGGCGTTGCTCCCGCGCCTCACTCAGCCAGTGAGCGGGAACCGGTCCGTATGTGGGATCCGAACCCTCGGGTGGGAGCGCCGCCGCGCTTCCCAAGCGGCGCACTATCCAGTGCGCCACCGGGCCGGCCCCCGGTATATTAAATTTTTGCATTTCTTTTCATTGATGCATGGTATTCTAGTAGCTATTTATCTAATTCAGGTTTTGCAGTTTTTTGCTCTTAATAAAGTGCCATGGTGAACATTCTTGTACATGTGCCAGTGTTCCGCTGGGGTAGTTAGCCAGAGTGGAATTATGGAGTTGTGGGGTGTGTTCATTTTCAGTTTTACTACAGTCTGCCCAATTGTTCATCAAAGTGGTTGTGCCAATTTATATTCCCACCTGTGGGCAGCAGAGTGTCCTCTTCAATATTTTATATTTCCAAGCTCTTTAGTTATGGTCAATCTGGACATGAAATGGTATGTTACTGTTGTTTTAGTTTCATGTCCCTCTGGACTAATTTTAGCATTTTAGATCACCTGATAGACTGATAGGATGACTCCAAAGGAAGAGGTAATTGTGCTTGTGAGGTGGTGTGGCCCATACTCCATGGCTTTCAGTGGTAGGCCTTTGAGTTGGCTCTTTTTGCCAAAAACTGCACTAAGAAGCTCACCGTGATAGTCTTTTCTTCCAGAAAGTGCTGCTGAGCCTTGAGTTGGCTAAGGTGAGTGACCTGGACACAGTCAAGGGGAAGAAACAAAGCTCTAAACCTGACCAAGAGCAGGACATGTGCCGATGTCCTCACCAACTGCAGGTGCCAAGCAGTGAGTGGCAGCCCCTTCCATGGCAAGCTTCTGTGGAGGGCCACAGTCCACACTTGGGATTCATTAAACCTTGTGGAATCTGGACAGTGTTCTGGATCCTTCTGATGATAATGTAATCCTGCAAGGAAATTTAGATTCTGAGGCCTCACGCTAAAAGCCCAGTAGGGACTAGAACCTTTCTACTTTGAGAAAATGGAAATGGGTGTCAGAGAAGGGAAGGGAAACCCAGGAACGGTTACAGTTACACTTTAGTTAACTCTGTTTTGTTTTGTTTTCTACAAGATCCTTTTCAGAAAGCCAAGGGAATCACCTTTCCTGCAGTTATATTCTGTCGGGAAGCGAACGGACTCATTCTGTTTCTAGAAGACTTAGGCTCAGTAAGTCCAGGTATTATCCCCTTGTGCTCTAGCTTCCTAACCTCTAAAACTCTGTCCTGCCTCCCTCAGAGGGCTCTTGCTCTTAGAAGTGAGCAGCACCATGCCATAAGTCAGGACCACAAATTCTAGCACTTGCTCTGAGACACACTTGCCGGTAACCTAAGCAAGCTCCTTAAGCTCTCTCTCCCTCAGTTTCTCAATCTGTAATGAGGGCGTGAACATGCCTGTCCTCCTGGCTTCTGTGAGGATAAGGAGACAGGAGGTCGTCGTGAGGGGGTTGGATTAACACCGAGGATGTAGCCATCAGGTGCAAACTCAAGTGTGCGAGAAAGTGGCCTGGAGTCTTTCCAGACACAAACAACCGAAGCTGGCTTAACTTGAGATGCAGAGAGAGTATGCTTTGTTGGATGAGACCGGCTGGCCGGGACGATTTCCAGCCTGTCTTCCCGGGAAGCTGGGCAGCAGGCTCAGAGAGGATCTCCAAAATGAGGACAAGCTCTGAAGACCAGCCCGGTGTCCTCCTGGCTCTTCCAGGATCGCGAGGCTCCAGTCGGCTACCGCACGCCACCTGGTGTCGCGTCCCCGCTACTGCCCAGAAACCACGTGTAAGAAAGTGCTTACAACCTAACTACGTACTTTGGCTTCCACCCATCCTAACCAATAGGGAAGGGGAAGGCGGGGCAGAGGGAAGAGAGGGCCCAATCACCTCCTGGTTTCCGAGGAGAAGGCGGGGCTTGAGATTTACCACGTTGGGTTTGTCCGCAGCGCTGATTACTTTTTCCGAAGGCTGGAGGGCTCCACTCCGGCTGGCGCCGCCGCCGCCTCGCGCTCCTGCTCCGCCGCCGCGGGCCGGGGGCTGCTCGTCCCGAGTACCATGTGCGACGGCGCCCTGCTGCCTCCTCTCGTCCTGCCCTTGCTGCTGCTGCTGCTGTGGGGACTGGACCCGGGCACAGGTAGCGCCCCCTCCCCCCGCCCCTCCTCTCGCGGCCACCTTCCCTCTGCCCTCCCGAGGCACCCTGGCGGCGCGGGGCGGCGGCGGACCGCCACACATCCCGGGCAGAGGAGGCGCGGGCCGCGGCCAGGGGACGGGGCTCCGGGCGGCTGCGCCACCGCCGGTTCTCCGCACGCCGATGCCGCGGCGCCGTCCCCG